TGTTTGGATGTGAGCAGCCGTTTCTTTGGGGGGAGCGTTGCGTGACATCCCAAAAAACGGCTGCGGAGACTACGAGAAATAGCGCCTGCCAGAGAACTGGGTTTTTTTGAATGCCGTCCACTTTTATCACCTCACTGACCTCAACTGACCCCAATTAATTGAACCAACCAATTAGAACCGACTATTTTCGCGCGGAATATAGGCGTGAAGGCGATCGTCTTACACTTCGTTGTTGATGCATGCATGGCGAAGGGAGATACAAAACGCCAAGAGGAAAACACTAACGACTTATGTAGATTGTGTGGTGTCAATAAGATAAAATTCGGTAACTTTAAGAAAAGTACCAAATACATTTCCACGGAAAATTTATTTAAATCTTCAGGTCACGCGAAGCGTGAAGGCAAGACATTAGCAGAACTTTGCTCGGAAATTGGCCCGAACATTGTGGAATCTAGTGTTCTATCGAGTCGAGTTTGTCAGTCTTGTGGTAGGAAAATATTCAACGCCGTTGAACTTGTCCGGTTCATTCGCTCCGTCCTAGAAAGAAATGTGGAGGTTCCGCTCTCTTCTTCGCCTTAAGATACGCAAGTGAGCATTAAACGTCTTCTTCCGTCGTCTGTGTCATCGCCGGACAGGAGTCCTCAAGCAAAAAAGAATTTATACAAGGACCGTTCGACCACTAAGAAATCATTAAATTTCTCAGAATCGACTCCTTCAAATGCAACGAATAAAGAAAACATGCCTTTGGATGTCAACCAGGAAACAATCACACCTCGCGTTCCACACTTCTCCGCAGAGTTGAATGTAGAAAATTTGTGTGGTAAACAGACCACTGATGATCGTAAATCCGAATGGCCGTATTGATTCGACTTGTTCTTTCCACGATGAAACGAAGTCGATCATTCTAAACGCCTGTCGAAAAAAACTGGAACACTGTTGCGAACATGAGTATCTTCTACTATCTATGATGACCATGAAGCATTTCCAGGAGAAATATATGAAGGATCATCTAACATTTGATTGACGTGTGTACTTCTCTCGACCAATCCGTTTTTCCCGCACACTGGTGTGCGGACTATTCAAAAACCAATGGTTTTCGTGCAGGCGGTATTTCAAAGTCCTCCTCCCCATCGACCTCGCGGCTTCGCCGCTCGCTTTTAGCGGCTCCGCCGACAAAACGTTATTTCGCGTGCCCACGATACCGCCAGCTACGCGGGCTATAACGCGTTTTTCTCCTGAAAACGCATGAAGGAAGCTGCGCGGCCACGCTAAAACAATTGTAAACACTGATACGTTATGAGAAAATTTACGCACGCACACAAATTGTGAACGACGCTGGCCAAGAGCTCCGTTTCCACTGTTCATGCCAAAACCTCGTCCCCAGGGTCTTTTCCATTCCTCAAACTAGGGCCATTTTCAAAATCGTCGAGGGGATGGCCCTGGGGACGAAGTTGCTGCCTCCACCCTGGACAGCATTTTCAACTGAATGAAGGCGTTTTCGATGAAAACGAAGAACGGTGCGCACGGCAGGCGAGAATGCACTGAAAAGTATGCGCTTTCAAACGAAAACTCATTAGCGTGGACGGCAGAACGTCACCTTTCTTCGTTCGTCAGACAGTATTCCACGCAACAGAAAACTCTGAAACTTTTAACCCCTTTGACAACAGTCATTTAATCATTACTCTCCTCTTCCCAACAACGTTCAACGACAAATTTAAAAACAAGAAATAATCTCTTAAAAGAACAAAAGGAAATAAAACTTTTAATTCCAACAGATGGAATTTATTCATAAATGTCAGCCCATTGTCCGCTTAAATGATTATTCAGTGGAGTAGACAGTGAGGAGCCTCATGTACACGGAAACTTGTATTATAACCTGGAAGATAGGTTTGGTTAAAAAAACTCTTTCCAAAATTAAGCGTTTTTCTTAACTGATGCAGTCCACCGATTGACTTTGACCGAAGCTGAGAGCTTTACAAAAACCACCTCCTGTGAAATTGCCATAATCGAGGACTCCCTATAAAGATCCACTTAATGACATCACGAGCACAGCTCATCCCGTCCCAGTTCTTCTCCATCTGTTTGTTCGTGTTCTTCAGGTACGCTACAATATTTTCATCTTTTTGCGTTGAGATTCGTCCTCATCTTCCTCCTCGTCCTCTTCTTCGTGGAAGACAGTTCTGGGTTGAGTGCTGTGAGAAAATCATCGACGATTAACAACAGAATTTTAGTTTGTTTGGCAATATATCAAGCACGCGAGACAGTGTTTCATCGAAACATCCAAACACCGGGAAGAGAGTTGAAAATACTACGCGTAACGGAGTATTTTTGACGAAATTCGAGGTGTTTGGATAGCCGATGAAACACTGTCTCAAGTGTTTGATATATCTTCTCAATCGAAACAAAAACTAAGGAGTAAACGTACGTTAAAACATACGTACTTTTGCCCTCCCCCTCCCCCCGAAGAAAAGACTAATGAAAATGTTGGAAACAAAACTTACTGTGCATATGCTGGCGATACCCAGTAAGGATCTTCAGCTGCAGCCTAGAAGCGTAAAGAAAGGAAGACGTAAGACAAGTATACACAAACGGAAAAAATATCTTCCTTCTGCAATTGCTCGCGTTGCCCTAACACTAAACGCCTGGATAAGGCTAACGAACATACACACAGTTTCACACAAGAAGAAACTCGTACAAAACCAGAGACAAACATATGCACAGTGACAACCACAACAGAGAACAAGAAGAAACAACTTTTCTTGCTTCTTTTCCCAGGTTAAAACGGTTCAGGCCACATAGACACAAACTCGCACCTAGGGCATCATATACACCCACCCTGGCCTTTATACAATGTCCTCTTCAATGCCACAACACTTTGTTTGTAAGCCCTGTCCCCTCTCTTCCTATGCGAATCTCAGACTCTTTCGGTATTGACAAAACGCTTTATGACGTACAGTCAAAGCTCCTGTAAGCGACTATCGCAGGGATCTGATAAAACTGTTCCCACTGGAGCTGGTTGAGAATGAAAAGAGACAGAAAATCTCGTTGGCTTATCGGAATCCGCATTGAAAAAGTTGAAAAGTTGCTCGACTTCGAGAACTTCCATCATACACTCTACCTCATACACTATACATCACGCATAGTGATCTCATCAGACGATAGACTATTCTATTGCCCCGAAGCAAGCGAAATTAGTAATTATAAAAACATATCTGTGTATACAAATTTATGTGGTCTATTTTCTTAATGCAGTAGTGTATTTTCTTTTCTTTTCTTCTGAAGGTGGTCGCATTTAATTTCAAATTAATATTTTTTTATTGAGAATATAAACCGGGCGTCGTGACGGTCGTCGCAGCGGTGGAAATGGCCGCTTACGAGAGCGATCGCAGAAAGAACTTCAACTGTACAGTACACGCGATTTTTTTTTTCACCTTACATTATGTTTCCTTATATATTTTACCTTAGCGTGTTTAAGGATGGCCTCTCTAGGATGGGAGTCGTCTTTCATTTCTAACGCCAAGTTTTTCACCACATAAGCAGACAGAGACATACCAGATGTAACTCTACCACCGTGACCTGCAAATAACACAACACCAATGTCACGGTTTGCGCAACTTGAAAAGTTTAGCCCTAATTTTTCAAGTTCGCCGTTTGCAATCCGTGTTTGTCTTCTCCATCCTTAACTATCCTTGTTCCTTTAAGGTTTATTATTATCTCTTTGGTGTTTTTCTATCTCAGTAAACGTTTAATTTCAGTTTACCTTCAATCTAAAGGTATTTTTGTACGTGGCCAAAATAACTTAAAATAACGTGACTGAGTTCCTGCTATCACGATACAGTAAAGAAAAACTACGACTCGCATTGACTCAGGAAAGTTACTAAAATCAATATTTTCTTCATTACTATGATTTCCCTACTATTCTAATCTCTTCTGATGTGACAAAAGTTTAAAAAGCAAAAATCTTAGGAGTTCTGAAGTAACACTAGTGTTTTTGACAGCCACTATCGCGCAGAATGCCGCGAAACATCCGGGACTTAAATGTAGAGTGCGCGCGAAATTTAATTTTTAACTTTTTTTTTTTTAGGCTGCCGATGGTTAAACAATAAAGAAAATGACCAGAAAATGACCGACTACGCATACTTGTTTAGAGTTTACGCGCTTCATATTTGTGTTTCGTAGTGGTTATCATACGGCTTTTGTAGATGAGACATTCATGGAATAAAGGAGACATTTTTT